TTGGAGTTAATGTTTCAATTCAAGCCCGAAGCAGCCAGATGTACTCACTGTCACCAACACCCTGGGTTCTGCTCCCTGCTGTGATGAGACTTCATGACTCAAAAGAAAATCTGATTGGAATCTCTCACCTTTCCTCACAAAGTTGAACACAGGGTTACCGGTGACCCAGCAATTTCTCTGCTAGGTATATGACCCATATGCATTTAATAAGAGATATGTAACTCAAATAACAGCAATATTGATGAAGCTAAAAAAGTGTAAACAGTTCACTATCCACCAGCAGTTGACTGGAGACACAAAGTGTGCCAAGGGCGTGCACAGGGAATTATTTGGCTGTGATCAGGGATGAATGAAGTTCTGATGTTTGCTCGACATGGTTGACCTTACAGACATCTCGTTGCATAAAATAAACCAGACATAGGAGGCCACATTTTCTAGGATTTTTTCTGTATGAAATGGCCAGAATAATCAAACCTATAGAGGCAGAAAGTAAATTAATGGTTGCCCCGGGCTAGAGGAGTGGGGTTTGGAGGGACAAGAAGAACATTGACCATCGGTACAGATTTTCTTTTCAGGGCTGAGCGATTAGAATCTTGTAATATGTGCTAAATTCTGTAAATGTACCCTAAATCACAAAACAGTATACTTTAACGGTGTGGCAATTATAGTATATGAATATGTATCAGTAAATTGTTATTTTAAAAAGTATTGCAGAAAGCCCAGTTTGACAGAAAAGAGAAGAAGCTCTCCTAGTTCACACCACTGTAACTGTGTACAGAATGGTGCCAATAGCGGGCATAGTTAAGTTGGGTCTGGAGAAAGGCAGATGTGGCTAGAGCCCGGCAGGAGCCCCTCGGGGGAGGTGGGAGGCTAGTTTATGGAGGTAGTTGAAGAGCTTCTAATGTAGGGCAGAGAACCATGCTTTGGGGAGGGGGCCAAAGTGAGACCAGACAGAGGAAGGTGACTGAGATGCATGTTCACAGGATGCTCTGGAGGTCACCAAGGCAGCGAGCGGGTCTCTGGCCACTGTATCACATTCACACACTCATTTTATCACAGAGTAGAACAAGCAGCAATAGAAATGGCATCTTTAGTGTCATGTCAGTTGTTACTTGCAGTGAATCCATCTATTTTTCTCACGACTGAGACCTCAGATAGGTCACTGATGCTCTTTTTTCTAAAATTATTGGGGATTCATGGAGAGTACAAAGAATTAGATTTCACTGATTGTATTTGTTCGATAAAGTCCCCTTTATAATTGTGTCCCGCCCCCAAGAGGTGTGCCATACACCGTGACTCCTCATCCCTCTTCCTGCTCCCTCATTCCTCCTCCCCACCCCTTGTATTACCTCACGGAGGCTCTTTGAACCTGTATTTGGCGATGTGTGTAATTAAAATGTTAGAAACAGCTCTACCTCACAGGGAGTTTTATGTAAACTGTTTACACACGTAAGAATCAAATCACACTGATGACCATATCTACCTCCCGCTGGAGGTAAGTTGCTGTCCCACTTCCTGATGCTCTTAGGCAGGCATCCTCAAACTACGGCCTGCGGGCCACATG